TCGGTCTATTTATTTTATTATTATTTTATATATATATTCTTTTTTTTCTTTTATTAACTTATTTATTAATCTAACATTAACGTGAATATAAAATATGTTTTAATTATACTATTATGTTCAAAAGAGTCTTGAATTATCATTGTCAAGTCATTGAAAATCAATTTAAAACAAATGAATTTAACTAAGAAAATTATGTTTTTAAGCCTAGCTGTCATTTTGGCTTAATTTTTCTTAAATTTAGCTTCTTTTAACTTTTTTTTTTTTTGCAAATCTGGCTCTATTTGCTCGAAAAATTATGACAGCACTGCTCACAACGCACAGTTCTTGTTGTGCAGTATTTTCACTGCTCGAACCTCCAGCGACCAAGCCGAGCACATACGTATTGTAACTTACAATTTGTAAGGAGCCCATTCACTTGCGAACATGTTCGCCGAACATTTTGTGTTCGTCGAATGTTTGCATGTGGATGGTGGTGTTCATACGAACATGTTCGACCATGGATTGGGATGTTCGCACGAACATCATTTGAAAAAAATTATCGTGATATTAACACGTGCAAAATGAACAAAGAATTTGTAGAGGAATTTATAGAATTTTTTTTCAAATGATGTTCGTGTGAACATGCCAATCCATTGTCGAACATGTTCGCACGAACACGTGTAAAATAGAAACATTTCTATTCTTCGCGAGCACGGTCGGCGAACAAAATGTTCGTGCATCCGCATGCAAACATGTTCCATTAGAGCAACGATTTTATTTTGCTCGTCAGACATGTTTTTCTCTCGAAAAATATTATAAAATGATGTTCGACGAACAATGTTTGCCCAATTGGTGGGCAACAGTGTTGCCAGATTAGGTATTAAATAGTATTTCTAGCTATTTTAAAATACTAAATGCTATATAAATTTTGAAAATACTCTTAGCTATAAATCTAGCTATTTAACTAAAGAATATGTTTAATTTCATTTTAATATTTAAAGAAAAAACTTTTCAACCAAGTCCCAAACTGTACTTAATGTGCGATACCACCACCACTACTTATCGTATACTTATACTTACATAAATCATCACAAGTGGTTCATTTACACCATCACCAATCGCGCATTTCTCTGCATTAATTGTGTGAAAGAGTGTATTACGAAATGGAGAAAAAACTATAAGCAAAAATTTCATGATTCGCGGACAAAAATCACTGGCTTTAAAAATTGGATAAGAAATGACGAGTTGGACAACACGCGGCCATATTACATATACGGCAAATGCAGTGTTTTTTCCTAATTACATGATATTTAAATGCATAAAGAGAGTTCAGCTAGTTTATAAGATATTTTTAAAAATTTTTAGCTATTCTTAGAGGCGATTTTGCTATTTTGATGTCTCAAAACCTGGCAGCACTGGTGGCAAACTGTGTTCGGCGAAAATGTTCGCAAAATGATGGGCCCCTATAGTGGTCCACCAACTTAACAGTTTCCAGCTCTAAAAAAGTTTGTTCTCCATGTCTAGTCTATGTGTTCTCTGGTTAGTGCTATTTATTGGCTAGTGGTGTTTTCCATCTGCTATCAGACACTTGCAATTTATTGAACAACAATATAATAACAAACATTGAAATCTAAATCAGTATACTAGAAACATCCATAAAAAATTAATTTGTGACGTCACATTACAAAGAGAGTGAAAATTGTGAACTAATCCGTAGCTCTCGTACCTGTGATAAATTATAACGTGGTGAATTCAAATTCAAATAAGTTTAGAAATTCCACTGTATTATAACAAAATACATACATACATATATTTTGATATATTTTGCAAAAATCAAGTCTCTATACTTATGTATATGTATATTCAAATTAGCAGGCCTACAATGATATGAAACGACTTGCTCGACCTAAAACAATTCTGACTTTTGTTTTGGGTAAATTTTATTTTATTTTTCAATTTCTGTTTAATAATACATTCATTAGTAACCCATTTGCTTGATTTTATGTTTCATTATCTGAGAGGAATCGCAAAATTAAATGGATTCAAGCTAATATGAATTGTATCGAAATACAGGTCATACATATGTACATATGTATGTATTTGTAATCGCCTCTCAGTCACTGTCTGCCTCTTAATGTGGTCAACTCATTTCCTTAGCAAATAAGTACTGGTAACTGGTAACAGCCACTGGCATCGAAGCCTATTATATAAACATATTTTTTATTCATTAGCTTGCGCATTTAGCTAATTTTGTTCACAATTTAGTAGTGATACATGTTAATCCCAACCAAAATTATCGCTTCTGCTGTTACCATATGTACGCTCACGACATCTGCTCGATACTTAGCTATCGATAACAGCAATGGAAACATCGCACAGTACAACCAGCAAATCATCGTATACAAAATTAAATCGATAGCATGATATGTCTTAGACATCCCTGCGTGCGTTTTATATCATCATAAAAACTAAAACAAAATGTCTTAATTGAATTGAAGTCGGTCTTGTTCTTTGAAAGCTAGCAAGCGGTTACCTTACAAAGTAAATAATTAAAGACTCCCATAAGTATAGTGCGGTGCACTCTGCGACAAATACAAACGAGTTACGCAGATAGTGGTTAAGGTGTGTGCAATTTTTTGTCATCTTTTTGTGGAGTGCAATTTCTATTAAAATGGGAAAAATAAAGAGCAAAAGTGACGTAAAAATCAATAATTAGAGCTTCGACAAAATACCAAGTAAGGTAGGCAATAGCAACAGAAAAAATGTAACTTCTTCACATACAACCATATATCAATATAAATATACATATACATGCATGAACATGTACATTTCATACATACACGAACATGTGCCTATGTATGTATGTATGAACATTTGCACTCGTGAGGAAAAGCATCAACAAAAGCATTTACATGCGCGTATAAGGTAACGGCTTATATCTCGTATATATGTACACATATGCATTTATTGCTTGAAATAATATATACATATATGTAAATATATATAGCTTCGTTTTTTCAATACTGTATTAATTTAAAATGGTTGTAATTATATATCAATGCAAGTTGATGCCGTTCTGAATAAAGTATGTTTGCATATGTATATTTATAAATCATCGCTAGCTTATTGAAAAATATGAATTATTATCGGGATATGGTGATAAATTAAACAGGTTATCAAAAGTAGTTAGTTGTTATGAGACTGTCGACTATTTCCCGAAGAAAAATAGGACCAAAACATATATACAAATGTATGTAAGTGTATACATAAGTGGATATGTCTATCGACCTGCTTGCGGCTACGTACTCTTCTAATAGTGAAGACTTCCGCATAATGGAGCTGTGCCAGTGTGTCTCTCTCCACGTGAGCTTGTGAGAGGCAATGTTGCCGTTCTCTTTTTCGTGCGCTACCCTTCAAATTTTCGCTGTGCTCTTTACGCATTGAAGTTATGTATGAATGCATATATGTAACTACATACTTACATGCGGGTATGTATGTATGTGGTGCACCCAAATACGCAAATCGAAAGCCCTTTTACTTAGTGATAGGTTTCAAATGGCATACAAGTACAAATACATATACAGATTTATGTGTATTTAAAGTAGTCTGCATACGGTCATAAACATATACATATATTATTCCAATCACATAACTATGATACACAAAAATGTCATGCACCACTAAAAAAAAAAAAAAAGTTCACACATAGATATATTTATTTTCCAACTTCTTAATACTTAGTAGCTTCATTTTAGTGTCACCTGTTTCATAAATTTACATGAGTAGTATTTCGCATAACTTAGACATGATGTGTGTACCCTAAGTACACATGTGCATATCTTAAGACAGAATATATTCACATCCTATATATAAATACATATATTAATCCACAACTCCAGAGTGGACTGTTTGCCCCTATAAAATATCAGCTTTACAACCCACATCGAATACTGAAGGTATAACAAACAAAGCACATATAAAGTTATAAAAGAAAAGTACGAGATATTTGAATTGGAAATAATTATGCTAAACAGCGCCAATAACAATTTTGTGCAGCATGTAAGTAGACACAATACGTCTTATTTATTTCATACTTTTTTACTACGCTTTTGCTATATTATTGTTCTTGTTGTTGTTGTTTTTTTTTTTTTAATTTTATTGTTGCCTGTTTTACAACATTTTAGCATTGATGCAAGTCGACTGTATATGATTTAATTCAAAAAGAAGGAAGAAGAAAACTGTTTGGGCTATGTATTTTAATATTCTTGGAATGGAATGTTGCTTGTAGATCGTTTGCATCGTTTTCTTTTGCTGACCTCAGGGCAATTTGAAAGAGAGTACCACCATACGAAATGATTTATATTTGATTTTAATTTCTTGATTTTGTGACCTTTTTCGAATCAAGCAAATATAATTAGTATAAATAGTTTGAATAGCCTGCACATATATTAAAAAACACATTAGATATTCATGATATCTCCGTCTTCTCTTGTATACATATATCAATTTAATGTTCATAAAGTCCAACAAGGTGAATTGCAGCACTTAAAAAGGAAACCATAGAAGGTTCACTCACATCTAACGGGCGGTCGGTCACTTTGGGGTCTAACTTGTTGGGAAACATTAGAAACGCGTTATTGATTGGGGCATCGTGCCAAATTGTAAATGGTTGTCTATAGGTTAAGGCGCGTAGCTAACCAATAGCACTCAGTATCCCCAATAAAACAAAGCAAACATTTTTTTTTTGTAGACAGGTAAATAATTGAATTGATATTTGAGATTACATAACAATACAAGGATTAATCGATTCATTCATTATGATAAAGTTTATATTTATATCCTGAACCCATTGAAAATGGGAAATCAGGGTATATTTTTTTTGTGAGAAAGTATGTAACAGGCAGAAGGAATCATCGCAGACTCCATAAAGTATATATATTC